TCCTATTACCATACTTAGTTGACTCCTCCCTTAAGATCCGCAATGTAATCGAATCTTCTTTTAGCATATACTGATGCTCTCCTGTATTTCTTAGATAATAATTATCAAATCCCATTCGATTTTAAATGATCGATCACCCGCTCCTGATATCCACACCTTCAACTTTTTACAACCTTTTTGCACACTTGAGTTTGTACAGGTGGTAATTTTGCTCTAGTTTCTCTCATTTCTTATGCTTATTTTTGTTTTCTTCCACTGGCCACTTTCTAACTTCAGTTTTGTCGGGTACCCATTTGGACTTTCTTTTCCGTTTGTAAGAATACCAGTTAGTTGTGTACTGAGAAAAGTATCTATGTATTGGAATCTGTGGTAAAAGTAAAATATTTTGATGTGCCTGCAAGTGGGTTGCCTTTGCTTATCGTGAAGCAAGCTCTTGAGATTAGTTTTAACTTAAAAGGCATTGCTTTCTATATTTTAATGGACCTTTCGTTTCCATCCTATTGTTTATGTATGTTCTTGTGGTCGATTTCAGGCCCTTGGCAAGATGAGGGATTTCAGGTTGATCTTGGCTGTTCTGTTAGTTCTTGCAATATGTCAAGAGGCCAGGTCAAATGGGGAACAGCCTCTATCTCGAATTGCTATTCATATGGCAAAATCTGCTCTAGATGACCGCGCTTATATTAAAGCCTACCCTACAGTTCTTGGATTGAAGGTAGGCGTTTATTAGATCTTAACCGCACTGTGTTGGTTTTGGTAGGCTGCTGATGGTTCTTATTTTGTACTTTACAGAGGTTGACTTGCTGAGTGATTTTACATCTTGATCTTGACTTATAGTTTATACAGCAAGTCTTGATCAAGTTTTAATTTTTTGGGTTTTCATTGGATTTTCTTTGTGGTTACAATTTTCCCTTAAAAGACAGAGGGCCTGAAGCAAATCTTAACTTAACCAAAAAAAAAGTACAAAAATTTACTTCCGTTTAGGAGCTTAAAGCATAAGCATTTTTATTTTCAGGGTCAAAATACAGAATGGGTGACAGTGAAGTATAGCTTTCCGAACCCATCAGTTGATGATTGGATTGGAGTATTTTCTCCTGCCAATTTCAGGTAAATATCTGTCTTTGCAATTCAGAACTGTATTTGAAACTTAGGATTAAACCTAAATTGTAGAACCTTTTTAATTTCTGCTTATTGACTAAACTTAGCTAGATTGATGTTTCAAGAAATACATATCTTTTTATTTCAGTGCTTCCATCTGCCAAGCAGAGAATCCAAGAGTTAATGCTCCTTTACTGTGTTCTGCACCTATAAAGGTTTGCACAACTTTGCTTTGCCATGCATATTTCCTTCTTCCACCATTTTCTCTTTTCTACAATAAAATTAAGTGTTACTTCTCCTTGCAGTATCAGTACGCGAATTACAGTACTCCTGACTATAAAGATACCGGAAAAGGATTCTTGAAGCTTCGGCTGATTAACCAGAGATCAGATTTCTCTTTTGCATTATTCTCTGGTGGCTTGTTGAATGTATGGTCACAACTGTTTTTTTTCCAAATAAATTTTGTATGGTTATTTGTTAAGACGAGCAGTTGTTATTCAATCTCTCAGTTTAAATTTCTAATTAAAAAACATATCCTTAGGAGAAATATAATCTATTTTTGTCGTACTCCCTAGTTATTTTATGCAACTTCTTGCTCAATACTAAGTTATGTCACTTAAAGTGTGATAAGGAACTCTGTCTGTTGTTATCTTATTTTAACTTTGCATGATGCACCTTATTGCTCAGCACTAAGTTATCTCACTCAAGTGCGATACATCTTTAGCAAAAGGACTCTATTTGAAAAATGGTGAGAATGTAGAACCTATTACCTTCTTGGTAGTGCAGCTGTAACAGGCTTTTAAAAAACCACTTGACAAGAGGAAGCCTACTAGAAACTCTGAAAAATGTTTACAGCACCTACTAGTTTCTTGCTGTTTCATGTAGTAACCCATTTCAGTATTTATTTTCCTGTCTTCTTTTTTAGGAACGGTCCTGATGGATTCTTGATATATATATAATGTATCTACATTTTTTTCTTTCTGATCATGTGATGCTTTTGGGTGATTTTTCCTCAACTCATTTTCATACATTTGTAATTTGGATTTGATAAAGTAACTCAAGAAGTGTAATTGCTTGTGCATTTCAATTGATTTAGTTGCTTAATTTCTCTAGTAATTAGTTTCACTGTCTTCTTATTCTATTTCATTTCCTTTGCTAGCCTAAGTTGGTGGCATTATCAAACAAAGTAGCCTTCAAAAATCCAAATGCACCAGTCTACCCACGCTTAGCCCAAGGAAAAGAATGGAACGAAGTAAGTCAAACTTTCTTCTTTGTTATAAATTCTATGCCCTTAGCCGAGATGTCATCGAAGTAGCAAGTCAAGGTTCTTATTTTTCCTATAGGGAATGCCACCTAGGCACAGGTTTATTGAAGTCAATATCCAGATTTTATGATATGCATAATTTGCTTCTTTCACCTTTTTTTTTCCCTACAGAAGTTATCATATGCGTAACTTATTCTTAGTCATTGAAAAATACCTCTAAAGAATTTTGTTAAAGTTGCGAATAGGAGCTACTGTCATGAATATTATCTTTAGGATATAATATAGATTTCAAGTGCATATGCAGATGACTGTAACATGGACAAGTGGATATGATATTGATGAAGCAGAACCATTTGTTGAGTGGGGTCCTGAGGGAGGAGATCGTCAACACACTCCAGCTGGTACTCTGACTTTTGATCATAAAAGCATGTGTGGTGAGTAACTCATTACCATTCAAGTTATGTCAGTAAGATAAACCTGAACTTGATTAGAGGTACAAAAACCTTCTGAAGTGGATATTTGAGAAATATTCTGATGCGACAACCGGAGTTAGATATTAAATTAAGAATATCATCATAGATGTTATTCATAGAAAAGAAAACCAGGAAAAGGAAGGAGAGAGAGAGTGAGTACATCCATGATAAGTTAAGCAAATTGATGGATTTGTCAACTACTTGTTTCCAGGCGTGTCAATAAATAATTATCCACAGGTTCAAGTTTTAGAAACATTGTACACATTTTCAATCTAATTGTTCAGGTTCCTTAAAAGAAAAAATATGTATATATACATATAACCTAATGGTGTGGACAGTTAGTGTAAACAGTGTTGTAGGTGGATGCTAATCTGTTACATTCTCAGCCATCCTTTTGATTTGATAAGGGATGCGGAGATTCTCATATACATTTACTAGTTAAAAAGGTTTTGTTCTTCAATTTTGCTTCCCATGGTGTCAACTTTCTAGTTTCCCCTGCCTCCAACCTCCTTTTGGCTTTAAAGGTAAATTTTTCATCTTATGCACAGGTGCACCCGCAAGGACTGTGGGATGGCGTGATCCTGGATATATACACACAAGCTTTTTGAAGGAGTTGTGGCCCAATCAGATGTATGTTGAACTTTATCTTTGACTTTATTAAATGTTTATTTACTTCAAAAATGTTTTGCGAAGATGGTTTTAGATTATCATATTTTTTAATAAATAATTATTGCTTAATTTATGATACTGTATCATATGATTTTTTTGGCCAACATAGTGTTGATTTCTCTTTACAGTTTTGCAAACAACTCTACTAAGATTTGTTTGAACATTTTATTTGAATATTTATGATGCCTATAAAATGAAGGGCGGGCATCATACTCTCTTTCATGGTTAATATCAAAACCTGTATTAGTGGTCTATGACTGGTACCAGGGAGAGGGTAGGCATAAGTGTACCAAAATCTGCAGCTACCCTAAGATAAACTGATAAAATGATATTTCCATGAATAATACTGCTTTTTATACACAAGAAAACTAAGGCAACGGAACATGGAGTCTGCCCATATTTTCATCTATATAAAACATTTAATACATATTAAAGATATATTAATCAAGAATTTCCATACACTTAGTTTGAAGTAATAACCGGAGTTTGCTAAGACTATCCTACAAGCCTCTCTCCCTTTCCCATTTTTTACTCACAATCTCAATCGATTTGAATGTAAGGAATATCTGTTACTTTCAAAGACTGTAATACTTCTTTCTTTTCTTTCTCTTCTTCTCTTGTCCTAAGGATAATAAAATTGAAGTAATTTAATGCACAATGATTCAATATCACTGAATGTGCAAATACAGTTGCATATATATACATATAAGGTAAAAATTTATCGTGAACATGCAGTGGAATGAGAATATGCAAGGAATAAGGAGCCAGGAGGATTGCGTATGTGTCAAGATGTAAATGACACCATAAGGATAGACATAGCTAATTAGATTTCTTTACCAGTTTTTTTTTTCTGTTTTCTGTTAAGGATAAACAATGCAGTACTAGAATATGCTGAAGAATATGACCTGGAATACCAAATAACCATTGGGTTGTTATCTTGTCTGCCGTACCAAATGATTGGGAGCAGTACAAATTGTCCCAAATGACCAGAATCACCTAAGAGAATTATCACCAATTTCAGACTCTATAATTTCTTCTCTTCTCTACTTTCATTCTGTTCTTGCTTTCTTTCTTCTTCTCTCTGACATCAATCTCACTCTGTCTCAAATAACCCTAGAGCCAGTGGCACTGATTAGTTCAGTGATGAGTCAATGCCTTGATCATCCGGCATCATGGCACCTCAATCTCAGTGCATCAATATCTTCCATTGCTAAACTAGCAAAGAACAAGAGGAAAACTATGATGACCTTGGCTTTATGATCAACATATTCAGCATAATGAGACTACTAATGCTTATCATTTTATGCTTGGCATGAAGAATATGGTCTTGAGACCTATAACTATGGCAAAGATGTGTAAATATCAACGTCCACGAAAGCCTGCAATCAGTGGAAAGGATAAAGAGGTAGAACCCAGTAACATTATGAAACAAGAAGAAAATTCAAGTTTTCCTATTGCTAATGATCTTCCACGTAAAAAGAGTTGGTAGAGGGCAATGCAATGAGGATCTAAGCCAACAATTGGGTTTAGTGATCTTCAACTCAAAGATGAAAACGAAGTACAAATTCATCATGTATTGATTTTCATCCTACTACTTATGAGGTTTTATATTGGCAACCAATTGTGTGTTTCCATTATGTTCACTATTACAAAGAATGAATAGGCATAGAGTTTGCTAAATTTTGATTGAGAATGTCGAAGTTCAAGGTTTTTATTGACAAGTTTCCTGCCAGGAAAAAACGATATAGAATGCATTAGATTTAAATTTTCTTAATAAATTAGAGATCATGATTATTTTAAATCTAGAACTATTATATTATTTAGGAGTTTAGATTCGTAATTTTATTAACTTGAGTATTTCATTCTTTTTAAGTATTTAATTCTCCTATTCTTATTAGCTTAATCCTATTCTTATTAGCATTTTTAATTAGTATTCAATTTTCTTATTCTTGTTAATATTAATATTTTTTTAGTTTAACCTATTTGGAAAATTTTACTTGGCAAGCTTATAATACTTTTCTAGTCTTACATTTGAGGGGAGGCTAATTATTCTCTAAAGAGGTCTTTGAACATTTTTTCAATTGTTTGATTATCTGATGTAATCATACCCTTAAGCCATAATACTTATAAGAAATCTAGATATGACATCTAAGTTTTATTCCCAAATCTTTAAATAAGAAAATTAATCTAATTTTTCCTACATTGTAAGTTCTCCGAAATAAAGAGAATATGGAAGGTACTTGCAATTATCAGAAATGTCAGAATGTGTTGTCTTTATAAACACTTGAAATCCATGCTTAATGAATACTGAATTTTGAAACATGTAAACGATTTTCAGTTATCTTTTTCTATTCTACATATATTAAATGAATTTCATATTAATTATGTAGTTACACCTACAAACTGGGGCATAAATTGTTCAATGGTTCTCACATTTGGAGTGAAGAATACCAGTTTAGAGCATCTCCATATCCTGGCCAAAACTCTTTGCAGCGTGTTGTTATTTTTGGTGACATGGGAAAGGTTTGAGCTTTCTTGAAAAATTTTATTTCCATATGAAGTATTTATATCCTATTTCTCTCAGTCATGCTGATTGTCTTCAATCAGTGTGATACATACAAGATGGTTGCCTGAATGCAGTCTTGTTTCATATTCTAATATCTATTAAGTGAACTGTTGATGCGAAAAAATTCTCAGTATTATACTGTTTATCCTTCTTAGCCTTTGAGAATAATTTTGTGCTATCTCTCAGAATATTCCCGATCTTAGGGAGCATATGGATATTTATTTGAACTTTCTGGGAACATGTTGACTGATCCTGTGTCAATGCATGTGTAACTTAGATGGTCAAGTTGGTCCACGGGCCTCAAATAGGTCTTATGTTGGATCCAACAACCTAACATGGGAGGGTTTTTGGCCTTTATTTGGCTAATTTTTTTTCTTTGTTAAGTAGAACCTATCGGAAGGATTACCAGATCCTTGTGTTTTGATGTAGATATAGTAAAAAGTTCACTTTTTGAACATTATTTTGATTCAAACTGAATATTTCAGTGTATATACTACTACATTCATGTGCAGGGAATTGCTCTAGCAGCCCATGCTCTCTCTTTTCTTCACCAAAAGAAAAAATCACATGGATGCATGTTTTCTGCTTTTTACTTCAAAGATTTGCTTCTGTCCCTGAAGTTCAAGCTGGAATCATAATTACATGGGAAAAGTAAGACTCTACTATTTGCCACCTTGTGATTTCTGAAATGTTTTGTTTAATGACTCCCCTTGCAGGCTGAAGAAGATGGTTCTAATGAATACAACAATTTTCAACACGCTTCTCTTAACACTACTAAGCAACTCATTCAAGATCTAAAGAACATAGATATAGTCTTCCACATTGGAGATTTGTCTTATGCAAATGGTTATCTTTCACAATGGGACCAATTTACTGCACAGATTGAGCCAATTGCTTCAAGTGTGCCTTACATGATCGCAAGGTTTGCACATCGAGTTTTCACACTGCTTAATCTTAGCTTTAGACTAGATTTATTCTCGTTCACTTCAAATGTTATAACTGGTGATTCTAATTTCAGTGGCAACCATGAGCGCGACTGGCCAGGAACAGGATCTTTCTATGAAAACATGGATTCTGGGGGAGAATGTGGTGTGTTGGCTGAGACAATGTTCTATGTTCCTGCCAAAAACAGAGCTAACTTCTGGTATGCAAGTTTTATGATTTTGACCCTGATATTTCGATAGCAAGATCATTTTCTTTAAATTTGAATTTGATTATGGGTTTTCATGTTTGTAAATGTGCCCTGCAAAAGGAGTCTCTTTGGTTTCACATAGCTAGATATGCTTGTTTCCACATTTTACGGTAGATGATATTAAGAATTATTGTTCTACCAGGTACTCCACTGACTATGGCATGTTTCGCTTCTGCATAGCTGACACCGAACATGACTGGAGAGAAGGATCAGAGCAATACAAGTTCATTGAACACTGCCTGGCGTCAGTTGATAGACAAAAGCAGCCATGGCTGATCTTTCTTGCGCATAGGGTTCTAGGTTATTCTTCTGGTGACCTTTATGCAGTGGAGGGATCATTTGCAGAGCCAATGGGAAGGGAGAGCCTTCAAAAACTGTGGCAGAAATACAAGGTCGACATTGCCATCTATGGCCATGTGCACAATTATGAAAGGACATGTCCCATATACCAGGTATTCCCAAAACTATGTGGTTTGCTGGTATTCCCCAGTTTTACCCAAAACCTTATTTGTCCCTCCTATTTTTGCAGAACATTTGCACCAGTAAAGAAAAGAACTATTACAAGAGCTCGCTAAATGGGACTATACATGTGGTTGCTGGTGGTGGCGGTGCTAGCCTTGCAGAATTTACAACCCTGCAAACCACTTGGAGTTTATTTAGGGACTATGATTATGGGTATGTAAAACTGACTGCATTCGACCATTCAAATCTGTTGTTCGAGTACAAGAAGAGCAGGGATGGAAAGGTGTATGATTCTTTCAGAATATCAAGAGATTACAGGGACATCCTAGCCTGCTCTGTGGATAGTTGCCCAAGTACAACACTTGCATCCTAATTGATGTGTACAAAGAAAAATTATTGTTAAAAATCACTTTTTTTATGAATAAAAATATTTATCTTGTAGCATGTTTTGTTATTTGTTTAGTGATGTTTTGTACTCTTTCTTTTTCTTAACATCATAATTCCTAAGTTTATGAGACAATTATCAAATTCTACAACATGCCTAGTAAGTTAGCAACTCCATTTGGAGTATAATTATGGTTCTGATGTTAAAGATTAGAATACACCTGCTCTGTTTGATAATATTATCCTGGAAAGAAAAATCAACCGTAGATAAACAAGATAAGTTAATGTGAAACTAGAGATGCGATCGATACAAAGAGTGATTCTTTTGCGAATTATAGTGAATCACTAGTTGATTTTTCAAAGAGAAAAGGACATTCTTTTCCTAGATTAATGGGGCAGACATGTAAAGAGGATCTCTTATGGCTACTTGGTTAACCCTTTGCATTCCTTTGAAGGTGGTCTTTTATCCCAATTGCAGCATGCTTTAATGGAAGAATTTGTTTTTAGTTCATTGAAACCGGAAACAGAAAGACCATTTGTTGGTGAGTTATGGAAGCTGGATAATCAGTAGAGATTATCATAGTTTGATAAAAGAGTTGGATCAAGATTTTCCAAACAGACGGCTTAGAAGATTGAGACCAAGAAGCAAGCAATCATATCAGCCATTTGATTTTGAATCACAAGGTTTTCTTTTTACTTTATAATTTCAAATGATTTTGTTTACATAAAACGATAATATAATTCAATCTGAACATAAAATTTTTAAAATAAATCTATGTACCTTTTTTTCTTCTCTAGTTTACATAGATTCTTGTTACTAAAAGAATCATATTTATAACAAAATCGAAACTTATTTGATATTCTAAAAATACAAACTAATTATTTAAAAAATTAAAATTTAACAATTTAAATCAACATAAAATATTTAAAATGTTCATGCAATTTTCAGTGTGTCTAGATGAAATGCTGGTTTTCTTGTTAGGAATTTTTGTTGGTGTAGTTTCTGCAACGGTTGCTAATCAAAGAGAAGGGGATAACTTGAGAAAATTGTTGAAGCAAAATGAGAACTTAATTCAAGATTTACACTAGGAATCAGGATGAATGATTGATTGGCAGTCAAAAATCAGATCGTGATGGGAGGTTTTAGATCTCAAAGAACAGATAATCAAACCCCTGTCAAGAATAGCATGCAAGATGCTCTTACTGCAGATCAATGATAGGTCCCGATCAGAGTGCACACTTTCGGCCTCTGTTTCTGCTCAAGGTGAGGAACTTAACCCAGAATTTTCAAGATAAAATATCTGCTTTTATTCATAAACGAAGCTTCTTTAAATACACAAGAGTTTAAAAGAAAATTCCTACTTCTATGGAATGGATAAGAGGATTACATGAAAAATTAAATGCTGCTTAGTAGATGAAGTAGTGGAGCAGATCTCGGGTAGGCAGCTGAAGCTGGTTCTCCTGTGCCCACGATTCTGTCATGCTGCAAGGAAGACCGTTTCTTCAGCTTGGCATGATTTGCTCAAGGCATATAGTGGGTTGGGGATAGGGATCTGTTGAGATCTTCTGGGGATCCTATCAATCAAGAACTGAGTAAATCTACAAAATGTCAGGACAGAGAGTCATCTGATCAGATGGCGGAGAAGACAATGAGTAAAATTGAGGCAGAGCTTGAAGCTGAACTCAAGAGACTGGAAAGAAGCTTCAAAACTTCAACTTTGAGTAAAATATCAAACTATGTTGAGGTATTTTCATGAGTTCCATTACTGATATTAAGCTCCTTTTTCTTCCGGTGAACAATATGTACATGCAAAGCTTTCATGCGTACACATGAAATTAGCCTGTTCCTCTGATAGCCAGTCTATCACAATGAAAAAGCGCACTCTTTATGGTGCACATTAGGAAAAAGATTTAGTTTCTAATGAATATAACATTAACTATCCAAATAGAAATAACCTTTTATGCTCTGGAGTTTGCAGATGGATCCAAACATAGTAGCTAACGGTGATCAAAGAATAGACAGCCTCATTAAAGAACCTGCAGCTTCATCTGAATCACAAAGCAAATCAAAGTGGAACATCTTCCAATCAGATCAACACACCATATCATGCATTGTCGCCTAAGGAGCTGAGCTTGCATCTTCATAAGGTCATGCAATCTTACATTAAAATCACAAATTTTCGAACTTGAGACAAGAATTGAAATTGCCAGAAAACTTTGGAAAGCATAATCCCTCAAGAGAGACTTGTATAGCTTAGTAGAAGGCAGCTGAGTTTTATAGAAGAAGCTGATGTCAAAAACTTGGCTTACATGTACATCAGAAGTTGCATAAGGTATCCAATTCTCCAAACAGATTAAATACACATTTCTGTAGACCTACTATAGAACATTAACCATAATGCAAATAATAGACAATGAAGAATTGGGAATCCCACGGAAGTCAGAGTGAAGCAGAGACTGGGAAGCTTTTGCTAAAGCAAATTATGGGGGAGATCAGTTGGTCACAAGATAGTGACAAAAATAAAGATGATCAATAAGACTGTCTATCTTGCAATGTACTTCAACAGTATGTGAAGAGAATTTTTTATAAAGCTAACCTTGCCACCTAAAAATATCTGGAAAAGTGAAGATAAAGAGAAGATAAAGTTTCTAATAACCAAAATATGGCTTTGTTTCAGCAGGAAAAACAACAGAGAAAGCTGATCAATGAAAGAAAAGAAAGAGGAATCTGTGAACAGCGATACAATGAATTATAATTTCAATTTAGAAAATAAACATTGGTTTGCAAAGAATAATAATAAAGTCTAAATGCTTACAATGGGAAGACTTTTTTATGTCGAAAATAGAACAAGAAAGTAAAGTACAAGAACCCACAGATGACACCTGTGATAACCAGAACCCAATTAAATGCGGTTGGATAGTCAAAAATTGAGGCAGTGAAGTTCATTCCAAAGACTCCAGTCACAACAGCAAATATTGTAGCCACAAATGTTGCCGCAGTAAGAAGCAGCTCAAATTGGATTAGTTGGTTCTGAACATTACCCTATTTTTTAATCGACAAAGAGAATAACAAACTCCATTATTTCCCAAAATAAAGAAAAATAAAAGCATAGGAAAATATGTAAATTACCAAATCACTAGCTTACCAATTTAATGTTGATTAAATCTTCAGTATCGTCAATGTATTCTTTAAGCTTCATTTATTGAAAAAAAAAGGGTTCAATACTTACAAGATTAGGATCCAGATTATATAAGTAAACGTGTATAGGACCCAATTTAATAAACTGAATATGCCAGTGGAAAAAGAGAACATAATAAATTGCACCTATTAGATTTTAATTATAGCACACTATCGCTTCTTCCTGTTTGTTTTAACTCAAGTATCCTGCATATAGCAGTCGAGCAAGTCTTCTTTTCCTCTTTTCCTTTCTCTGTAGTAATTTTGAGATGTGAATCAATTGACAAATGCAACTAAATATGGTAAATCAATAATATGGCTTAGGACACCTTAGCAAGTTGTTTACCATTCTAAATCTTGAACAACTTGTTCACCATTTGGTATTGCAAAATATGGAAATCCAAAATGGAAAACTACATGTTTATACAATAGCTTACCGAGGATAAGTTGCTCAGGGTATTGTCAATAACAACAAAGTATGCTTCAAGTAACATCTCAAGTTGATCAATATTTTCTCCACTGCTACAAGAGGAACTCATGATGCTTCCATGTTTGCTTGAACTAACTACACTGCTAAAAGTCCTCTGCAATCTCTTTACCCCAATGCTTGAGGCAACTGGTGAAACAGGAGCAGATTTCGAATCCAGTCTATCCCCACCTGAAAAATCACTAGGGAGACATATGTCACTTGAAGCATAAACTTCCGACCTTTGTTTCTTCTCTGTCAAGTACATTTCAGCCATGTCACCGTCATCATCCATGAGATGTTCAATCTCATCTCGGACCTGAAATTTCAATCTAGAAGCTAACAAACAGAGGGCACAAACAGCAGCAGGATATAATTTTTTTTTTCTTAAAAGAAGCAGCCGGGTATATATAAGAGAGGAAAAATAAATTCCACCTTCTGAACTCGCTGAGTCAGAGCAAGGAGGTGACCTTTTAGTCTACGTACACGTTCCAGATTAAGAGTACTAATAGATGAAGCTAGTTCATCTAGTACTGGATATATCTCCATTCGCAGTTCTTTTGCCTATCCAAAATATGAGTAGCAAGAAATGAGCTGACACCATTTTACGTTCAGAATTCCTGTAATCCATCTAATTCTATCTGTAATTTTAGTATCTTGCATGAAAAGTATGTTCCGATTGAAAAACTAGACATACCCTTTCTAACCCTCGTTAGTTGGTCTTTCATAAACCGTGTTTAGACAGGTCAAGCAAGAGAAAAAAAAATCTGTGTAATATGAAGCTCCCGGCAAGAGAACCACACTTACTGAGTCAGAAAGTTTGAAAGAGGTTATGATCGAGAATGTGGAACTACATGAAGCTAAGCTCCCAAAAACCTGAACAAACGATTTGCTTAAATATGATTGCTTAAGCAAATGTGAACACCACCATAATATAAGTTGAGCTTCCCTTTTTTCCAATTATTTATTTAGGGGGCTAATGATCCTAAGCTACAATTAAAGATTCTATGTACCTAAATCTCCTCCTTTAAATTGCAGTGAAAAGAAATCAAGAGAGACAAGAAGAATATATGAAACACTATAAGGTTTGTTATGAATGTAGAATATAGCATACCTGAGAGTCCAGAGACGTGCAAGTTAATTCCAAAGCCAACTCTAGTGCTCTAAACTCGAATGGCAAGTCATCTGAAACAAACAAAAACACATTGACAGCAACTTAAACATTATATCATTCTATAAATCAAAAGTAAAAAATTTACACCAGACAGATTAGAATCCTAGCAACTTATTATTTATCATACAGAAGAAAAACTGCCAAAAGTTAGAAGGAACCTTTATAGTTGGAAGCTTTAATTAGAAGCACCAAATCCAGTAGAAACAGCAACTTCCTTATGCTTCTCTTAAAAACAGTCTATAAATATTGTCCTAGTGGTTTTCACAAATAATTTCCTTATATACTTTTGTCTTGAATACGTCAATTGGAAAAAAAAAATGAACAATAGAAAACATTAAACAAGGCTAATATCTTGTTACATCTAGAATTTCTTTTCTGTTCCTCTAACAAACTCAAATCTTCCCTTAAAAGTGGCACCAAAAGCTTTTGAGGCCATTAAAGCCACCAGCAAGTAATGTTAATATCTTTACCAGCTTGATCCTTGTTTGACTTAAGGCGCTTGCAAAATTCTGATTGGTACTGAAGAACACATCCATCTAATGAATTCATCAGGATAACCTCATCGGCTGTAATTATACACCTGATCTGTTCAAGACTGACCACTATAGCTTTCTCACGTCCCAAAATGGTAGAAGGATAAATAAATAAAGGGTCCAGAAGCCTTAGATCCCTGGCAGGCAAAGAACAATGCTTCATTATGGTACCTTTGTCAAGCTCCAAAATCTTTGAGTTCCCATTCTCATCAATTTTTATCCAAGAACGACTTCCATGCCCCCTCTTCTTCAGGCTCAGTAAGCCAGTTCCACGATTCCCATGACCTTCAAAATGAAGCCTTCCAGCATCATGCAACGATGTGGGTTCAGATCGATTGGAAGGATGAAAAGGATTCAATAATTCTTCCATTGGATTTTGATTTAATCTTCTTTTGGTACCAGGCCAATATTTGACAGAGAAATGATTTCATCAGTGCACCTGTATTGGTGCAAAATGCCACTCTGCAAAAGCTACAGCCTCATTTAAAAGAAGTGATAATAGAATGAAACTGAAATCACAACAACTGATATAGTTTTTAGTATTGGTTCTTGAGCATTTATGAAGCAAAACCAGAAGGTTAGATTATACAAAAGCATAATTCATTTATGAACTAAAAGCAGACCATTTTCCCCTTCTTTACTCTGATGTTTTTGGTATGTTGTAACTAAAAGCAAATCTCCTTTTTATGCAGCAATTAATTTCCAATAAGTGAACCAATCCAATAAAAAATGTAGGCTACTTTGATATAAATGAATTTCATTTACATAATTCAACCGCAAATCACAAGAAGGAAACATTACAAAAGAAAAAGTTGAACTCCTAGAGAATTTCCAAATAGAAATTAAGGTAATAGATTTCAAAGTTCACCAAAAAATATAAAAAACAAAATAATTGGCATTTGGAAACAATGTTCTTTTTCTTCAAAAAAGAGAAAGATATACCATGTAAAGAAAAAAGAAAAGATCTTCCTTCTCCATGAGTTAATTGTTTAGTTTACACCAAATCACTACTACCTTATCTAATAGAGTTGGGATTTAAATTTATACACCGGAATAAACAATATCAGTGATTTCATATTTATCCAAATAGGAAATTATCAAAACAAATCCAGAAACCACTCATCCACTAATCGCAAAAAGTAAATTGATTCAACAACTCAAAGACCAAATGTAGAACAATCTTTAAGTGAAAAAAAAAATGTTCCACCATAAAGATAAAATAATCGAACACCCAAAACAGCTAGATGACATATCTATAGAGACAATATCCTCATCATATTCACATATAAGCAGGAATAAACAATTATATAAAACCCATTACCCCATTTCAAGTTTACTGTATAATCAACACAACCCCGAGAAGCCAAAACCAGTAAACCGCAAATAAGGTGACCAAACCTCGGAACAGAATAAGAAAATATCCCAAAAAAAACTAAGCCACCTTTTAACTTCGGATCATCTTCTGAAACCAACGCGCGAAAGCTCCTGTTCCATTATCGAACCTGAAGACGTGAACAGAGAGAGAAATTAATAAAAATGGGAGTGGTTTGATTTATTCCAGGTGCCACCATGAAAGAACCCGTCAAAGAGTTTTTGCGTGCTTCAGTTTTCTCCTACTCTCTTAAGCATGCCGATCTCGTGTCACTCCACTTTTCAACTTTTGGTGCATTGTTGGTGATTCTGTAAGATACTTCAGCAAAATCAAAATCAAATAACCTTTTTAGGAAGAGATATAAAAATCATATTTTGGCAAAATCACAACCACACACGTTTAATTGCTGCTCATGCAGTATATAAATGGGCCTGGCTCATCCATCACTTGGCCCAGCTCAAGATAGTTTTTACATTTCAATTACTTTTCTTAATAATATTGTATATACATAATTTTGTGAAATTTGAAAAAAAAAAACCAAAAAACCAAAATCTCTAACTGGTGCATGTTCAGCTGGGGCAGATCATATTTAATGGTTGGACTCTTCTGTCTGATACTATGTCAGCAAAGTATCTGGGAATTTTCATTTTCTGTAAAGTGCTCTTATTTTAAAAAGAAAAAAAAAATCTAATAAAATAACTCTAACTATTATATTTAATTCGTTCTTTAATTAGATAATTAATATTTCACATCCTTTCTCAGTAGGGTGGGGTCGCGGGTTTTTACGTTGCTATCAATTCAAGTGAAAATTTTTATTCCGTCAACCTACTCATAATTAAATTGATCAAATGAACTTCAAGATATTAGCTTGATGATATCTTATAAAGTAAGAGATTTAATTACGTATAGATATCGAAAATTTAATTTTTAATTTTATAATAGATTAAGTTAAAAATTAAAAAAAATGAAAAATTAAAGATAATTATAATCATTAAATTATAAATAGAAGTGTTTTTTTTATCTAAAACTTCATAATTAACAAGATATGAAAAAAAAAACATTTTAAAATACAAGTTTGAGAGAAAATTATATTCCTAAAATTCTCTATTTATCAGTTTAGAGACTAAGCTACAAATTTAATTGTAAGAGTATTTTTTTTATTAATTTAAGTATATTTCTGTTTATATATGACTGTGTATTTTTTATAAAAAAAAAATTATTTGAATAATTCGTAATGAAATAAAAATAATTATATTTTTGGATTTAAAAAACATAAAATAAATTCAGTTTGATAAAATTTTGCTTCTTGGAGAGAATACTTCTTATGATATATTAAAATTTAGTAAATTTTATGATTATAATTTTATTTATAACATTATTAATACTAACTTGACCTCATATGATATATGTAATTTTACATATCATATTATTATTACCATTTTATATTATTATGATTATACATAGTAACTGTAATAGATAATTAATTATTATTACTAATTTATCATTATTATGATTCTCATCAATAATCTCATTAATATTATCATTGATATATTAGTATTATTATTATCTTATTTCTTTTTTTTTTCCTCTTTTTTTTATATGTCTAAAATTCATGTTCTTAAATATAGTCCGTAAATATCTTTTATTAATTTTCCGAACGAATGTTGCCATCACACCCCTCCATAATGGATAAATTTTTAAAATTTACATACAAATTACTAACTAAAATAATAAAATTACATTATATGGTAGATGCCTAAAACTTTCATATTTTGTACCATTCAACCCCAAATTTTTTTATGAAAGACCAATATAAAAATTATTACTTAATTTTTTTATCAATGGAATCAATAGTAACTCAATTTTTATTAAAAATAAGAAAAAATTAAACGTCTAAAAATTAAAAATAAAATTTTTATATTATTTACATCATTCTGATTGTAAAGATATATTATATTTTTATATTTTATAAATAGAAAAAAAAATACATGATTTTAAAACTCTTATATAATATACAACAAATTTAAGAAGATTATTAACGATTTAGAATTACGATTAGTTCTTTAATTATTTTTTATTTTTTAAAATAATTATATCAATAAAATAAATTATATTAAATAAATAAAATAAAAAATTTAATTTTACCTTTTAAATTTCAAATAGGGTTCGAGTTTCTATTGGGTTACATAATAACCTACACTAAGTCATAAACTCATTTTTAAATATTATAAGGTAAACGAACGAATCTTAATAAAATTAAATTACATAATTAACCTAATATAATTACATTTAAAATTATAATTTATCCTATTTTAGTAATCATATATTTTTAATGAAATGATAATCACGAATTTTTGCAGTTGACTCATCCACCAAACACAATTATCACAACTATATTTTCCTGAACTTACAACCCGTGTCAGGTTTTCAAACTAATTTTCCACAACTAACCAATAGAGAAAGGCCACGTCAGCACGTCATGCGCTTCCGCATCTCAGTAACCGCTATATTACAGGAGAATAGTAAATTTTCAAAAAAACCTACTTCAGTAACAGGAGTAGTTAGAGATGGCGCGAAAGGCAGCCATAGTTTGTTACAAAACAGAACCAGAAACTCCGAAAGTACCGCTACGCCTTTGCTCATCAGATCTTCCAACGACAAATCTTCAGAATCCCTCTTTCTCTCTCTTAAGCTTTATTTTAATTTTTCATATAAAATTTTCAAATCATTCTTAGCTGACACAATTTTCTTTTTTTGGAGCAACAGCTAATATTTACGATAAAGATATGAGATTATCTTCGTAAATAAATCTTTCATTTTTTTTTTTGAATTAACTGTCTTCAAATTTTCAGGTATATTTTTTTCTTGTTGACAGTTAGGTTTTCTGGGGGTTCTCATTCTTGGTCTCATTTCTACAATTTTTTTTCTTAAATTTCTATTTTGTAGAATAATGGTTTCTTTTTTTTTTTTTTTTCTTTTTCTTGTTTGTTTTTTATTTGTAAATTGAGATTTTGAGGCACAAGCGAAAAATTGGATCGCCGCTTGCACCTACGGCGAATTTATTTTAGGTGCTTGATGATTAGGGTTCTTTGGAACCCTAAAGGTCATTTCATGTTTTAGGTAAGTCTCTGTGCTTTCGATTAGAGACATTGATGATTACGTTTTCTTGTTCTTCCCTCTAATTTTTCACTCGTTGCGTCCACAATTAAGAAATTGAATGGAGAAAAACAGAACACGATAGATAATTACACAATGTTGCTCCTTTATGGGGAAAGATGGAGGAAGGTGGTTAACAAATGTTACATGAACATCTTTTGCTGAATTATATTCTAATTGGAACAACATGATTATTATTATTATTATTATTATTTTGTTGAGGGAGAAGGGGGGTTTGTCTATACCGTTAACGCTGTTAATTTCACACAGAAGGTATAAATTTATTGGACATGGATATAATTGAAACATTTTGAGCATGTGATTGTGATTAGAAAATCTACTGCAACACCAATGAAATGGCAATGTTTAATGATCTAATAAGAAGAAATTTTTTGCTCTGGTGAGTCATATGGAATGGTAAAAGAAGTAAACTAAGCCAATTTGAATTGAAACGCTTGTTGCTGACAAATTTTCTCAGAAACTTTTTGTTGGGATGATAAGATATTAGTGTTTATGCTTATATTTGTATGTTAAAGAAAATTTCATCTGAACCGTGCAGCTTTTAACTGATATGGCTTTGCAGACACTTCATAACCACAACCCTTCATTTATCACCATGTAATCACAAGCATCACTATACTTGCTTTTGCTCCCTCCACTGCAATTAACTAGCTTTTTTCTCCCTTTAAAATTTAAAATTTGAAACACAAGCCTGTTAATTTTTCCAGTTATGGACTTGGCACATGCGGGTGGAAGCGGTAATAAGTCAGAAAGACATCTGAAATTTGTAGACAGGAGTGGGAGTAGTAAAAACTCTTTAACACACTTTGCATCTGCTGTTACTTATGAGAAAGGAAGTAGTGAGCATTCAGAACCGTTGTCGGGTGTCACCAATAAAAAGGGAAGCAGTAACCCTTTTGAGATACGTACAGGGATTCTTGACAAATTGCGAAGTAACAATGATTTTGGTGCACAGCCTGAGTTTATCAACGGGGCTGAAAACGGTAATTATTCAGAAATCATAGATAGGAAAGATAGCAGTAAGCATTTACCAGTGCATTCAAATGCTATTATTGGTAAAGATGATGCGGCGTCCCCAACCAAAACGTTCAGATCATCATCTTCTTCATTTTCATCTTCAATTTCATCAGCTTCATCACGAGAAGATCTATTGCAGTTGAATATAGATGTTCTGCGTTCCAGCACATCTGCTACTTCTCCCCCAGCACGTCAGGAGAATACTGCCGGAAATTCTATAAAATCAGAAGAATCAGACAATGGGTTTTCGGGTGCGACATCGTCCTCCCAAGTTTCTGTTGTCACTCATGAATCTATTGGCCCCACTCCATCACCAGTACAGTCCCCTTTAGTCCAAGTGATGGACAGGTCAGGAAGATTTGATAGAATTTCATCCTCTGTTTTTGAAAGAAGTAAATCTGTAAAGGAGTGGAGTGTTGCTTCAAATGAATCATTGTTCAGTATTCACATAGGAAACACGAGTTTCTCCAGAGATCATTTTATCTATACTGAATCACAAAAGTCTGCAGAGTGTATCAAATCTGGTGAATTGATTGATTTCAGCCCACCACTTCCACTTCTGGAATCAGGGACTGACAGGAAGAAGGATCAGATGGAGAAGATTGGAGAAACTAGACTGTTGGATAATACTATCATGGATGCAACAGGACCTGAATATGTAGAAAGCCGAAGCCCTCCAATAGTATCCTGGGATTCCTCAAATATTTACAATAATTCTGGTGGAAGTTCAACTGGCAGGTATGCTGCTTCTTTTCCACTGTCAGTTCATATCATATTCTCATTTCTTCAGATACTCTATAGTTGCATGTTCGGTTTTCCATTTGAATGTGTAATGTAAAGAAATATAGATAGATCTGCTTTATATTAATTACATGCAAATGTATAATTCGTACTTGGACATGGATACTTAACGGATGTTTTTGTTTGTATATGAGTATCAAGTATCACTAGATATGCCTCTTTGTTATCTGTTGTTTCCATCTTATTTCGTGCATTTTAATTGATTATGAGTATTACTTATTTATATAATCATGGGATATGTATTGACAAATATGAACTATCAAATATTTTCAGCTGCTGCAGAAACAAGTGTGCATGGCCATCGTGCCACTGTTTTAGATGTAGCTGGGTGTTTTGCTGCTGTCGATGGCCAAGCTGCTGCTGTAGATTGCCAAGCTGCCATTGTAGATGGCCAAGCTGCCACTGTTTTAATTGTAGTTGGGCATTCTGCTGCTTTTGGAATTGCAGAAGAAAAAGACGGTATTGTAACTCATCTCCCATGTATGTTTTTTTCTCTTTTTTACCCCATCTCTTTGTTCTCCTTCTGAAGTACGTTTTCAGTTCGTCTAATTTTATCATTATGTGCATGTTATTCATATTGTACTAATTTATTATGTTCTGTTAGTACTAGCTGTGAAGATATCAATTTCATGTCATCCTAACTATTGCAGGTTGGCAAAGGGATCGACAGGTGGTCCTGTGAAAGAAGATAGTGAGGAGCAGAATCCGAAATCAGCCTCCAGAGCAAGTTCGGGCTTAGTGACTAATAAATGGTTTCCTTGCCTTCCTTTTTGCTCACGGTGTTGTTCCCGCTGTTGTTTTTGCCATTATTGTTATTGTTGTTGAGAATGAGTCCTATGGAATTCGCGGGTCTTCACTGATCCCTGTACATATGTTTAGAAATGAGTGAGCAAATATGGGATGTTTATACAGTTCCCTTGCTATTTTTTACTTGATGTCAAAATGCAAGGGATCTCACTAATGAACTGCCATTTTGTTTTTATTCTTACACCCATCTCAGTGGTATATTACAACCTAGTTTTAGGTCATGGGGAATGGTTTATTTGCCTCGTAGTTTTTGCATGCTTTTTTTCATTTCGTCTCTAAGATAGCTTTATAAAATGTCGATTGTTCCATATTTACTTATTATAATTTTAAACTTTTAAAATATAAAATATGAAAAGCTTTTGTTATTTTCTGTTAAAATTCTTACAGATGCATAAAAATATTATAAATTGAAATAATTTTATAAATTTTAAAATTAATTTTAATTATGACACGACAAAATAAAATAAATAATAAATATTGAACTAACAAAATAAAAAATTATATAAAAATAAAAAGTTAGTTATTTATATATTTAAATAATATTTTAATTATTAAACCATGCTAGAAGTTGTCTCATAACCTTAAATTAAGAGTGATAGAGGAGGAGGAATTTATATGCTAATAATATGGTTAAGGATGGCAATTTGGGTACAGATTTAATTCTTATTATTATCTTAAATGAATTTTTTATCTACATATATAGTTAAATATATATTATGTTTATAAATATATATATATATATTTTTTATTAACACACAGATATACATTATAAAGCCCTGAACCTCTTCCCTTCTCTCTCTTTTGCAGTCATTTCTCTTTTTCTTTTTTTTTTTTGTCAACCGCTCACTCCCTCATCTTCTTCACTTTGCAGTCGCTCTTCCTCTTGGTATCACCGTGGATCTTTCTTCGTCTTCGATCTCCGCCTTTCATCGCTTCTCGCTCGCAATCACTTCTTTGTTTTTTTTGTTTTTTGTCATCACTCATTTCTTTCTCTTCATTTCTTTATCGTTATTCCTCTATCATTGCTTATCACATCATCCTAGAGTGACACGTTACTGGTGACAATGAATGATATATTAGAAGATCGGTAATGAAGAAGAAGAATAAAGAAGTGTTGGAATAAAAAATATTTTTTAAATTAATAAATCTATAAAAACTAAATACACAATTTCGTACTGAATTAACGAGAAATGTTAGCGAAAATATACATGAATCTATCGTAAAAAAAATTGTTCGAGTCCGGCAATAAAATCTTCTGAATCAAGACGATGACTAAAAATTAATTTTTTCTGGTAACAAAATTTCAGAAAAAATAAAATGACAATCTTGTTATTTAGGTACTATAACTAATTTTTATATCGACAAATTTTTTAAATTCTCATTTTGTTCATAATAAAATGAGAACATTATAAAAAAATGGTATATACACATTATAAGTCCATACTTAAACCCGATACATTAAGATTCAATACTGTTTAAACGTTTTTTATCACTTTTAAACGACCTCATTAAATTGATAGTCTGATATGCATACCAAAACCCACATTAAGTCTACATGTAAAAAAAAATCTAATAATCTCCTACTTGAGTTTTATATGACACCTTAACTATGTGTTAAATAACCGTATAAATACTCATAACTGTGTTATTAATACCTGAATATATCACCAAATAATCCCGTTCATCGATCATAATAACATAGGATCAAAGCAGTTTTCAATACAGCTAACATAGCTAAACTCATTAATAGTCACATTTATTAGTATAACCAAATGACATAAATTAACATGGATGTGTAATATAAAAATTACATGCTATGTGATCTAAGTATGTCTATTTCTAACTGATCATGCTTTAACTTTAGTAAAATCAACTGTAAGAAAAATAAGAGATACTATAAATAAATAAAAATATAAAAACTGGAATGAAACCATATATATACATAAACCAAAACCAAAATCAAAGTATAAAATTTATGATATGTCTTACAAAATAAATACAACTATGTTACAATACTCCCATTGAACATATACATCATCTAAGAATACAATACTCATATAAGTAGTGTGCTCATAAAAGAGCTTAGGTGATAATCTTTTAATGAATAGATCAGTAATCATAGAGTTTGTTTCAATGTGTTCTATCGATATCTATTTACTCTGAACTCTTTTTTTAATTACGAAAAACTTGATATATATATATATATATGTTTTGACTTCGTTGAGCTCTTGTTGTTGGAATACATAACTGCAGACTTATTGTCATAAAATAACTTTAATTATCTTTCTAAGTCATCAATAATACGCAACTCAGTGACAAAATTTTGCAGACATATTCTATGATTAGATGTCTCATAATAAGTTACAAACTATACTTTCATAGTAAAAGAGACTATAAGTATTTACTTAGCACTCTTCCAAGAAATAGCTCCCTCAACAAACAAGTAGATACAGTCTGATATAGATTTTTTACTGTCTTGACATATGGCGCAATCAGAATCAGAATAACTAATGATCCACAACTGATCTAACCTCATATATATGAGCATATAACCTTTTGTTCTTTATAGATACCGTATGATACATTTGGTTACTTTCCATCGCGGACATTAGAATCTCAAAAATTCAATACGAGAACAACTCTGCTACCAATTATTAGAATAAAAATATTTTTCAAATCAGTAGATCTGTAAAAATTAAACACATAATCTCGTACTGAATTAATAAGAAACGTAAGTGGAAGTGTATTCCATCGCGAAAGAATTGTTCACATCTAGTAATAGAATCTTCTGAATCAATATGATGCCTAAAAACTAGTTTTTTTTTTAGTGATGAAATTTAAAAAAAATAAAATGACAATTTTATAATTTAGAAACCATAATTATCTTTTATATCGATAAACTTTTACAATTCTTATTTTGCCAATCATAAAATAAAAATATTATAAAAAATAGTATTTACACATTACAAACTTATATTTAAACCTTATTCATTAAGACTCAAAAGTATTTAATTACTTTTAAACGAATTCATTAAATTGATAGTTTGATACATATACTAATACTCAAATTAAGTCTACATATAAAAAAAAATTCAAAAAAAAAAAAAAAATTGAATTGGAGCCAAACGATTTCTATAGATATTTAATATAATTTATATATATAATGCAGCTCATATTCGGACGGGTTTGGAAACGCCTAACCTGAACTTGTCCATCATTATCACTATTTTTTACCAACTTGAACTTATCCCGCTGTAGATCCAATTTCTTTCTGAAAATTTGTTTTGGACCAATTATGAGTCGGGTGAATCATGCGGGGCCGGACGGGTTTTGTTATCCCTAAATATGGAATGAAATTATGGGATAAAAGTGCCTCGAGCTGAGTTGGATCACCCGCTTGTGAGCCGTAAAATGAAAATTTGTATTTGTGCATGCATTGGGTAATGTATGGAAAGAGGAAAAAATAATTAAAAAAACGAACAGAAAAATCAAGGGTGCGGGAGTCCACGGAAGTGGTTGCTGATGGCCAAGCACATTATCTTGTGAAAAGGAAGTTTTAAGTCACAAACTTTATGTTGTTAGTTATGTTCGAAATCCCCTGAAAGACGAGTTATAAAATAAAAACTCACATTCATTTATCTATGCACCATCACCATGTTCGTGTGCCTCAGGAATTTGGGGAGGCTAAAGTTTGGCAGGTTTATGAAGTTAAAGAGGCTTTACTTGTTTTATTATCAGGTAAATGGATGAATTCCAGGTGATTTGTGAGGGAATTTCCTACCTGGCAAGGTTCCTGGTAGCAGACTGAATATGCTGTTTTGGCTTAAGGAAACGAAATAAGTGGCATTTTCCTAAATTAAATGTAATAATTGTTAATCTCAGCAACAATGGAACATCTGGCCTTGTCCCTTTCATCATTGCTGTTTTGTGCAGGTATCTCAGATTTCTGGAATGATACTCCCAAGTCTTGGGCACTTGGAATTGCTTATTGTTCTACCTAAA